AGGGGGCGGGGAAGCGCCCAGAGAAGGGATGTTTTAATGTCTTGGCAATGTTTGGCTTCAAAAGAAAGAGAAGGAGCAGCTTTGGGCCGTCCTGCTTGCAGCCTGCGAGGTAGCTTTAGGGAAGGCTAGCTCCTTCCAGACCCAGTTTTGAGCCCTGTTCTTGGGATGGGACGAGGAAGCCCGGGGCTCCCTGGCAGCTTTTGTCTTGTGCTAACGCAGTTCTGTCACACTAACACACAGGGATGACAACACCTGATGCTGGAGGCAACAGAAGGCAGCAAACATTATCTGGGGCAACCTATCAGCACATCTGTACAAATACGCAGCTGTGCTCAGGGCACCGAGTGCAAATTGGGGTGAAAATTCATTCTGCAATCAAGGGCAGCCCCTTCTGCACGGCGATATCGAGGCGCTGGCTGTGCCAGAAGCACTAGATGGGGATGGTGGTGGATGTGATAAATCCTATTGAAATTGCACGTGGAAATGTAGGTGCAGCACCAGTTGGAAAGTAGGGCGATGAGGGATTAGCGTCACGCTGGCCCTCTGAACTCCCAAGGCCAGTGGGTTTGGGTGCATTAGCAAAGGCAGGCTTCCAGGGAGAGCAAGCTCAGGGGCATCAGATGCTCCCTGAGATTTCTTATGCCTGGGTTGGGAAGTGGAGAGCACCTTCATGTTATAGTGCCTGAATGAACCGGGATGCTCAGGCCGTGGGGGCCATAAGGCCATAAGGGGCTCACCGGAGAGAAGGAACCTCAGTTCCCAAGGTTGGCTTTAAAGGGCTTCTGCACCCCTCCTCCTTCCATCATAATGTTGAATCAAACAAAAGCTAATGCAATTTCCTTTGCCTTTCAGTAGGAGATTGTGCTGTAAGGACCCATACCATTAGAAATGTAATAATTGCTTCTCTATGCAGGTCTAATTTATCTGGGAGGCACTTAGGAGATAGACCTGTGATAGCTTGGTGATAGGCTTTAGGGAAGGGATGGAGAGGTGATGATAAAGATCTGTCTAGCACCTCCCATCTCCGGGGATGGCTGCCCCGTGCCTTGACATGGCAGGGGAGAGGGGCAGCTCAGTGCCAGGAGTGAGCTCTGTGCAGTGCCAAGCCTGCAAGATTTAACAGGGGATGTAGTGGTGGGATGTCCAAGCCCTGTCTGGGCAATTTGCAATCCCAAATAAGATCAGTGTGTGGCTGTTGCCTGGGTTTTGGGTTTGCTTCTGCTGGAAGTTGCCCTGTTGTTGGGAATGCTTGAGCTGTCCCAAGGTCCCCATGCTCAACATTCACAGCTGTAACACTGCTGGCACTTCTCAAACACCAGACCACTCCTCGCCCATGTATGGGACACTCGCTGTGAACCAGCAGGTGAAGCAGTCATAAGTGTATTTTGCCTTAGCAAAATCAAAAGGTGGAAAAGGAGAAGAAAACATGAAGGTAGGTGTGATTCATTTTCCAGTGGTTGGAGCTTTTTGGGACTCCGGGTGTTCCCACACAATGCTGTTAGGTGGTATCGTTACCAAACTTGGGGTCACTGGTCTTGCTTTGAAAATCAGGAGGCAATTAAAAGCAAAAGTCTGGGTGTGTGTGGGTGCACACTGGTATAACACAGAGACCTTAAAGAACAACATCAGATCCCAAACTGAACCACAGCTTTGGAATGCCAGCACTTACACCCACAGTGATTCACTCACCCAACGCCTCAACTGCACAAACATTCATTTTGCATGTGTTAATGGCACGTGCCCAAACCAGGGCTGCTGTGAGCCTCAGAAGTATGAAAATGAAAATAAAGGCTGTGGAGGGACATCCCATGAGCTGTGCAGTGGATTTCAGGCTGGATGTGTCAGCCCACATTGCTCACTATTACCATGAGCACATACATTCTGGAGGCCTTTCAGCTGCCATCTCACCTGCAGTCATCTCAGGGATAAAATTGCAGAGAGAGAGAAAAAGAAGATCATAGAATCATAGAATCACAGAATGCCCTGGATTGAAAAGGACCACAGTGATCATCTAATTTCAACCCCCTGCTATGTGCAGGGTCACCAACCAGCAGACCAGGCTGCCCAGAGCCACATCCAGCCTGGCCTTGAATGCCTGCAGGGATGGGGCATCCACAGCCTCCTTGGGCAACCTGTTCCAGTGATGAGGTTTAAGTAAATTGTTGGGAAGTTGAAGTCTAAAGTGGAAATAGATGAGACATTAAGCAGTTTTTACAAGCGGAGGGAAGTATTTTCCTGCTATTTTTTATCTCCCTGGCTTGAATGAACCTGCATCGTGCGGCTGCAGAGATTTATACTCACAGCTCCTAAGTACCAGTGCTTGTTCAGGGTCTGTATAATTCCAGCCCTCTTATTCACTCGCCTTCTAAAGACCTCGTGTAAATATTTATCTTCACTGCCTGTCCACGCTGCTGAACCTGAGCTGTTAAACACAGTTATCTCTGCGTCGTTCTTATCTGTGATCCCTGCCAGTATTGGGAGCTGTGAGTAGCGAGCGGCTCCCTTAAACGTCCCATGAATGAACAGGGAAAAACAGCAATGAGAGGGGAAGAATACCTTAAAAAACAAGTGTGTGCACTGTCCATCAGCAGGAAAGGTTATTATATGTGTTGTTTTCCATCTTGGCTTGACCAAGGCGATCCCACACCTCCGTAGCTCCAGAATTCTCATCTCAGGTACAGCAGGGAGCAGAAATTCCCAAGGAGAGAGCAACGGGATGGAAGCTCTGATATAATCCTCTCTTATAAGGCAGAACTGGCATGCAGGAGCCATAGCAGCACTTAACGGATAAGGCAGTCGGTCCATCTGCACTCGGTCCATCTTCTCTCATTTCTCTCTGTTACATTTCTCAGGAGGGCGGTGCAATCCCGTTATCCAATAAGTTGCCCACTGGTAGCTGGATTTTCATTGAGAGACATCTGTCACAGACCTGGGGCGTGGGAGGTGCGGGTCATTTTGCAGCATCTTTGTTTTGATGCTTTCAGCGGATGTGGGCATTTGTTCTTAAGTTCTTGGCTCAGAACTGCAATGGGGTGTGATACAGCGCTTCCCAAAGAGGCAGTTGCTGCAAGACAAACTCTGTGCATTCTTGGAGTTCTGTCAGCACATTTCTAACTTCTTTTAGCATGCCCTTAAGGGCACCAGCACTTGGGACTACCTAACTTTCTGTATTCACAGTTTGGAAAGAACTGATGGAACAGTCACGACAACAGCCCTACAAGTGCCCCCCTCTGGCTTGGAGCTTACCATAAACTAAGCCAACCAATATCCCCATCAGTTTCAATGGGGAAGAATTAGCAGCTCCAACTCACCAGTGACCACAGTAGAGCTTTTTTTCTTTTTTTTTCCCATTTCCCTGGATTAAAATTTGTCACGGAGCAAACAGAAGCAAACAGAATCACATTGGAGAAGTAGAACAAATGGCACCTGGCCAGTGGTCAGGCTTGCAGGGGGAAAAAAATCTGGTGTAAATAAAGTGTAAACAGCTTTTGCATAACGCTGGATTAATGATCTTTTTTTTTTTTTTCTTTTAAATGGCGTTGGGGTTGGAAAGATGCACTGTGTGTGCTGGGACTTCTCCCTTTTCCAACTGATAAATGCCAGCTCTGAAATGAAGGGCTCGCCAGCCCTTCAGCACAGCTCTGCTGAAGCAGCAGCGTTTCACGCAGGCCTTTGGAAGAGGAACAAATGTCTGGAGCATTCTTGGACCAACCCTCGGAGCCATCCTCCAGACAGGGATCGCCATCAGGGTGCCCAGGTTCCATTGTGCACCTCCAGTCCCATCCACCTGCCTTTCATCTTGTTGTTGTTGGCTCAAATTTTGATGGCGGCGATGCAGAGCTCGCCTCCCATCCCCCAGCACTTTCACACCCTGCATATTTTAACTCTGCTTCTCCAATAACTCATCCGTGCTGCCCGCCTCTCCTCCCGCCCCGTTCCAGGTCGGTGCAGAGCATCTCACCCTGCAGCACGACTCTTTCCTGGTTTCCCAGCTGGGTGTGCTTAATGCCTTTGATGTCACCAGGCTTAGAAACCAGCAGTCTCTGAAGAGCAGTTTTCTGGATGATTTCCACCTGTTTTCCTGTTCTTTTGTTCCCCTTTTGCCAGTGGGCTGTTGAATTTGCACCTTAATCCCAAAGATGATGGTAATTAAAAACTTAAGTCTACATAAACAGATGCAAATACATTAAGGAGGCGAGGAGCTGAATTAGAGGCTAATCCCAATGGGGCAGTGAAAGCAAAGGGGACAGTAATTCTTCCGTCTGTTATTTCACCTGTCCCTGTGGCAGGAGCAGGAGATGCCCAGGGCTGTGCTGCTGGGTCTGGGGATGGGACCTGCACCCCAAAGTGTGGGATCACATCACCCATCTCCACAACACGTCTCCCAGCTCCCCAGGCATGTCAGCAGCCATCATTCTGTGCAGCTGTGGTGCTCCTTTCTTCACCTGCAGAGGAGAGGACTCCAGAAGCACAACAGAAATGGCTTCAGCCTTGAGTCCACCATTGTACAGACCTGAGTTTGAAGAGCAGGGAATTAAAATGTATTCAGCAGGGGAAAAGAAAAGTGGTTTTATTCCCTGTTTGCTGAGCTGTACAAGCGCCCATGTGCCTCACCTGTGTCCTGAATCGCCATCTAAGGCTGTGCTTGCAAGGAAGCTCTCAGTAGGCATCTCCAGAAGTGCACTCAGGATTGCCAAGGATCCCAAAGTAAGGCTGTAGGACTGAAATCCTTCATTTTTATGAGCTGGAAGTGATAAGGCTGTGAACTGAATTATACCGGTGCCATGACGTGATCCACGCGTGGGTTGGTATTGATTACCCAGCAATACAGATTGATGGCAGATGCCGATTCAAAGCCTGGCTGCTGGATAGCTGGGTGTGCGGGGCTGTTGATCAGTTAAAGCATTGCTGTGATTCACCATATTTATTTAAGGCTGGAATTCACTTCTATCCCCGCGGCGTTGCTTACACCTCTAAAATCAAGTCTTGTTTTTTTTCAGGACGGGGAAGGCCAGACTGCACTCCATTACGGTAAGCTGCCCTTCAGCTCTGTTGTTCCCTTTTAGCAGGATGGATTTGCAGCTGGAGCAAATCACCTCTGTACATAACAGCAAATTTCAGCAGCAGCATTAGTAGGAAGGATGGATTTGATTAACCAATGGCAAAGCCCATGAGCAGTGTGATGCTAACCTCCGGGTGTCCTGGTTACAAACTAGTTTGGTGCCAGCTGGGAGCACGACGGATCTACTACCAAACCAAGCAGAGTGAAGTTACAGCTTGTCTCACTCCTGCAGCTACGTGCTAATTAAATACGAGATTTTATAGCAATCCTTTTAATTGAAAGAGTGTTCTATCTCCAAATGAGAAAAGTAGAGAGACTTAAGTGACACACGCAGTGCTGATATGCAGGGAATAGGGAAAAAAAATGATCTCCATCGTAATTTGTTCCAAAATTAAGGCATGTCCAGTTATTATTTTATACTCTCTCTCAGTGGCTGTCACTGTGTAATTAAGAGCACACTTGTCATTCTGAAGTGTTTGTGCCTCTCTCTGATCTCTCCACAAGGACATTAGCAGGAAGGCAATATTGCTCTGTAGTCCATCAGCCCGAGACACAGCATTTGGATCTGGATCTAAGCGGCCAGATTCCCAGGCCCCTGATCCAAGGCTGTAATTACAGTAATGTGTGAATGGTCCCCGTGTGATCTTTCCTGTAGGACACTTCATTTTCCAGCTTGTTATCTTTCTGGCTGAGGTGGGAAATCTGCCGCGTCGGTGCTGCGGTGTTTGGTGAACAGCTGATTTAATTCACATGATCTCTGCAGTCATTTCTCCCACCCACCCAAGCAGCCTGTGGGACGCCTCTCCAGGTCCCAAAGTGCAGGCGCTTTCCTTCCCCATTCCGTTCCATAGCAGATCTGCTCACACACCACCCAGATCTCAAACACAGCCTTGAGTTAATTGTTCCCATCCAGGCGGCCTGAGGCTGAGACTTGCTGAAGATGTCCTGATGCAAGCACTTTGTAACCAAGTTGCTCACTGCAGCGCGGAATGAAGCCTCCCCTTTTGTCAGAGGACTTTCCGGGAAGGGTTAACCCCCACGAGAGGCTGCTTTTAGGGTGCATCCATCCCTTTTTACGAGCGAGCGTGCCCTGACAGCTGTCCTTGTGGCGACAGCTCTCCTGATTACAGCCGGCCTCGAACCGCGGGCTGCGCCGGGTGATAAATTCTGCCTCCTTCTGCCCGCTGCTGACCCTGGGTTTAATCGGAGGTTAAGCGGAGGCCAGCGCTCAGCCTCATCCCGAAGGCTCTGCTCGCCTTTGGGACCCGGGTCCTGCTAAATGGCCTCCCATCTCCTCGCCTCCATCCATCCTCCCGCCCTCCGGGAATACCCAACTCATCCCACTGCAGCTCCCAGAGGAAATCAAGGCTTCTCAGAGCGCTGGCGGCCACGTGGCTGCACGGTGGGCAGGCTGTGCGTCCTCACGGGCGCTCCGTCTTCCTTGGAAAGAGCCATCTGTTCGGCTCGGTGCGGAGGGAGGGGAAATAAATAAAAAAAAAAATAGGAGAGAGAAAGAAATTTATCATCCGAACCCTGAGGATTAATGGAGTCACCAGGCGAACTGAGCTGAATGGAAATTCATCTTCACCCGTGCCGGTGTCAGGAGTGCCGCTCCGGCCCTTGACAAATAGAGGTGCCCAGGGTGCCATAAATCCGGTGGTGAGGCTGCTCTGTGGGGACACTGCCCCTGTGGGGACACAGCAACCAGACAGGGCACACAGGAGCGGGGTGAGGGTGGGCACCGTGCTTATAGGGTTGGCCTGCAGTTCCCTGGCTGCCCTGGAAATCCCCTCTTTGCAGCCACCTCTCTGTTCGGTCTCTCCCACATCCCTGCTTCATCATAGAACGGTAGAACCACAGGACGTCTTGGGTAGGAAGGGAACTCAAAGACCATCGGGTTCCAACCCCCTGCTGTGGGCATGGTTGCCAACCTCTAGACGAGCATCATCCCCTTCCCTTCCTCCTTTTCTTTTTATCTTCTTCTATATAAGCTTCAATCACACCTTGCCTTTATTTTAATTAAACTTTGCCGCTCGTCGCTTCGGGTCAGCGCAAAACTGCCGAGTAATGCAAAAGATCCTCTGATTACAACATTTAACAGCAAAAAAGAGTTAGTTGGTTGTATTGTAAAAGGACCTGAGATATAATTAAAACCAAAGAGGCACCAATCCGGCAGGAAGCAGCCCTGCAAGCAGCCCAGGGCCGAGGTCTGACCCTGCTCTTTCTCCCTCCCTCCCCACAGCCTCCGCCTGTGAGTTTTCTGACATCGTGGAGCTGCTGCTACAATCCGGAGCCGACCCCACACTGCGGGACAAGGAGGGCTGCCTGCCAGAGGAGGTGACAGACTGTAAGGCCATCACCTCGGCCCTGCAGCGGCACACAGCAGGCAAGGTGTAGCCGTGCCATGCGGCCGGATGGGTACCATCGTGCAGCAAAGCCCTGCTCTCCTCCAAGCAGGCTGCGGGTCAGGGTTTTGCATGCTCTGACATCTAGCAGTATTCCGGGGTAAGGAGGGGGGACAGGACTTGGATAGGTCCCTGTGTTTTAGTGCACACTGCCGGGGAGGGCTGCTGGCACAGCCGGGGCCATGGGGTTGCATTACGGTTTGGGTTTTTTTTTTCTCTTGGGTCCAAGCAAAACACTATAAATAAAACAAGCACAGTGTTGGGACGGTGTCTCTGCGTGCTTCTCTTGCAGGGAGGAACTTGAGGGCTCTGAGGGACGTGGTCAGTGGGCAGGGTGGGGATGGGGTGATGGATGGACTGGATGATCCAAAGATCTTCTCCAACCTTAATGAGCAACTTGGTTCCTGGGAGGCTGTAGGGATGGGAGATACCATCCTCTGTCCTGCATCCATCTGTCTGCCCCCAGATGAGGGCTGGTAACATCTGTGCCAGTAAGAACTGCCAACACCAGGTCCTCCTGCAGTGCACCCACTTCTGGGCTGATGCTGATGGCGTTTGGCAGCCAACACCATGGCACAGCATTGCCCACGAGCACAGGGCAGGCTCAGCAGCAGTGACGGGCTGTGTATTCCTTTGTGCCTTTCCTCAACAGATTCCAACACTTAGGGTCACTTGCAGCCCTTGCAGGAGGTGTTGGGTCAATGGCAAGGACAAGTCAGCCCGCTGTGTCTGCTGCATCACTTTGGATGCACCTACGACAGCCCAGCGTTGCATCAGCAAACCCACTGTAGCCAAAATGCTAATTCACAGTGTGAACCAGCACCCGGTGGGAAAGCAGGGGAAACCAACTGTACTTCTCACAGCCCCCAGTGTGAAGGGAACTTTGGCTCAATGGGCAATAAAACGCCCTCTTACAGCCAGGATAGAAGCAGTGGCATTGAGGCCCCTGCTTTCAGGGAGCACATGTGGGGCTCGGCACGCAGCCCTGGAGATGTTTATAGCACTTTAGGTCTGTTTGTGAGTTTGGAGCCTTTCCAAAAAAAACCAGGAGGGGGGGGTAAAAATGAGAAAGACATATATTATTGTTTATAATCTGCTTTATTCAGCCAAACCTTTCCCCAACAGCCTTGCGGATTGCTGCTTAAATCCCCCGGTGCCTTTAACTACCGATACAGAAAGTGGTTAATGTGCATTCGGGCTAAGCTTGGCATCTACTCCAGGAAATCACTTTAATTGAGAAGCATTAAATGTTAAAATGATTAAAATATATAAAGCCAACACACCGGTGCCCACGGCGGGGCTCGGCACCCAGCACGCCTCACCTGAGCAAGCACAGAGCTGAGGTCCCCCCATCTTGGGACAGTCCCTTAGGGCACAGGGGGAGCAGTGGCAGGGATGGAAATGCCCACTGCAAAGCATGGAGGTGTACCAGCTCTGTGTCAGGCTGCTGGGACTGCTGTCACCCCATCCGCAGCTCGGTGGGACAAGCCATAATCGCTCCATCTCCCTCCTGGACCAAAGTACCGCAGGCTTCACTTCACCCAAATTACCTGAGGGGCTGCAAAACAGCCCCATGTGGGGACAGAGCAGGTGATACCGCTGCCCCCCCACCCCCAGTGGGGAAGAAGAGCCCAGAGACAGCAGCTGCAGATGAGACCCGAATTTATTGACATCGTGTGCCCTCGACGCGGCAGGGACCGTACACAGCTCATGCCATGGCACAGGAGGCAGGGTACAAAGCAGCATCCCACAGACAGGGTGTGGGGGGGGTCGTGTCTCCCCAGAGACACGGCAATAAATAAGATCTTAGTCTTTAAATTTTTTTATTGTTTTCTTTTTTTTTTTTTTCCTCCCCCCCTCTTCCCAGCAAACAAGACTCACTTTCTGGAACTGTACAACATTTACAAGGGGAGGGGAGGACGTTTGGCTGCATCGGATGGGGACGGTGAGCAAGCAGGGACTGCTGCAGGGACAGCCCCCCCCCCATGTCCCCTCCCTGTGCCACCCGGGGGCTGGGGGCTTGGCACAGAGCAGCACCGGGGAGGGCACAGCTGGGGGCGCACAGGTGCAGCTGGGCAGTCCTGCAGCACCAACGCACCCAGCCGGGGGACAGCCTGCTCAGCATCGAGCTTTCTCACTTGATTTCACGTTTATTTGTAATTCCCTTCGCTTTCGGCCGCGGGCAGCAGCCAGTACAGCCTGATGTCACCGAACGCCCCCGATCACACACGTCCCCGAGCACGGACCCTTTTTCCCTACCGTTTTGGGGAATGTTTTTGCAATATCCTGCAGCAGAGGCTCACCCCACGCTCCCAATCATCTTTCCCCGTGTTCCAGCCCCAGCTTGTCCGTGCCCTCGGTCTCTCAGCCTCGAGGCTTTTCTTCCTGCTGCAATCCCTCCCCTCCAGCCAGCGAGGTGCAGCGCTGCACCGTAAGCACTCCTGCACGCCCGGGGATAAATCACGGCCCTGCAGCCGCAGCGCGACAGCCCCGCTCCCACCCGCCCAGCGCCGCAGCCAGCAGCCAGCACGGCCCCTGGGCCGGGAGAAACGCTCTGAAACGAACCCTTCTGCCATAAAGGCTTTGCCATCCCTGATTGTCCTCCCCTCCTGCGCACGTGGCTCTCCGCCGACCAGGAGGGACGAGGCGGGGTGACCCTGACATCCTCGCCGTGCTGTGCTCCCGCACCTCCCTTGTGCTTACACATCCAAAGGCACCCGCCCCATCCCGAGCCCCGGACATCGCCGATGCCCCAAGGATGGGCGCCGAGCCCCCACGGATCCCTCCGGCTCCTCTTCCCACGGGAAATCCTGGCACCATCTCGCACCTCCGGCGCTGCGCTTGCGGGCTGGGGGAGCACGCAGGGAGCCGGGGCGGGGGGCGTGCAGCGCTTAGAAAGGGGGGTGATCCATGTCGTCCAGCCAGGAGGCCGGGCTGGTGGGAAAGTCTGGGTACCCGACGCTGCTCCCCGTGGAGATGTCGGATGTGGGGCCCCCCCCGGCCATGGCGCGCAGCGTCTGACTCACCCCCTGCGCCCCCAGCCCCATGCTGCTGTCCATGGCGTAGTCCAACCCGTTGAGCAAGGGCGGGTGGGACGGCAGTGACGAGATGGACGAGGGCGACTGGGGGAGCCCGTAGGGGCTGCCGTCCCGCAAGTCCTGGTACGGCTGCCCCGTCCCGTCCATGGTGAAACCACCGTTCAGCAACTGTCCTCCTGCCACGTCGCCAACGCTGCCGTAAACCCGGTTGGTGTGGCCGAGCTCGGAGAGGATCTGGTCGTCTGCTCGGACAAGGAGAGGAGTGCATGGGGTGTCAGCCTTGCACGGAGAGCCCCACAGACCCCCACCCCGTGCCCCCCTGCCCTGCTCACCGCGGAAGCTGAGCTCGCTGTCGCTGACCCCGCAGTCCTCAGCTGAGCTCTCCTTCTCCAGCTTGCCAGCCCCGCGGCTCCGCTTGACGCTCTTGTAGAACTGGCCCCAGCGGTGCCGTCCCGCATCCTTCTTCAGCCTCTTCTCTTTGGCCCGACGGTTCTGGAACCACACCTGGGACGGGCAATGGGGACGTTGGTGGTGGCCCTGCAACCCAGCATCCCAACGTCCTGCGTGCCAGCACCTCTCAGCCACAACATCTTGCACCCATATAACTCAGCATCCATCACTGCTCCAACCTTGCGTCCCCGCACGATGGGACCCCCACACCCCGACACTCCAGCTTCCACACAGCTGTGTAACCAAGCAGTCCAACCAAATATGCCTGTACCTGTGCAATCCTGCAGCCCATTAGCAAGTCATGCCAGCACCCCAGCCCCCGTATAACCCAACACCCCTGCACATCAGAATCCCTGCAACAACTCCACACCCCATCATGCCAGCACCTGAGCACTCCAGCTCCCAGGCACTGCACATCTGAGTATGCCCGCAATTCACTGCCCCAGCAGGCCAGCATCCGTGCAACCCAGCACTCCTGGCAACCCAGCATACCCCTGTATGCCAACACCCATGCAATCTGGCACCTCTGCACCGCATTACTGTGGCACGACAGCACTCATGCAGCCCACCACCCATACAGTGCAACAGTCCTGCAAATCAGTACGTCACTGCTTCAACACTTTATCCCTGCACACCGGGATCCCCACAGTTCTGCACCCCATCATGCCTGCACCAAAGCACCGTGCGAATGAGTGACCCTACAACCCAGCACTGCTGACATCCAACATCTGTGCAACCCATCACACCTGCACCTCATTACCACAGCACTGATGCAGCCTACCACCCATGCAAATCTGCATGCCAGCAGTCCCACAACCTGACTACCAGCACGCTGGATCCATGCAGTCTAACACCTCTGCAACCCAGCACTACAACATCGCTGCAACCTTGCATCTGCATACAGCAGGAACCCCAGCACCCCCCACCCAGCTTCCACACACCCTGCAATTAAGCATCCCCGCAGCCCTGCAATCCAGCATCCCATCACCACGACACCCCTGCACCTGGAACCCAACTCGAGCCCTTGCTAGGGGCCAGCCTGGCGCTGGGCTGTGGGCAGAAGCCTGGGTCTCTGGGTCTCACCTGCACCACCCTCATGTCCAGCCCCGTCTCAGAGGAGAGCTGCTCCCGCACGTGCCGGGCAGGCTTGGGTGAGTTCTTGTAGGCATTCTTCAGTGTCTCCAGCTGCTTGGCCGTGATGGTGGTGCGGGGCCGCTTAGCCCCCGCCTCGGAGTCATCTGCGAGCAAATGAGTGGCGTGAGCAGACCAGGCAGTAAAACACGAGCTTGGAGGCCATCAAACACGAGCTTAGGGGCCGTGCCTACCGTTCTGCTTAGCGGTCTCATAGTCCTCCTTGCACACCAACCTCCCGTCCTCCATCAGGTAGAACTCGTCTCCGGTGGCCAGCTGCCTGCTGCAGATGATGCAGGCAAAGCAGTGCAGGTGGTAGACGAAGTCCTGAGCTTTGCGCACCACCTGCGTGGGGGGGATGCCCTGCTGGCACGCCGTGCATTTGGTCCCGAAGCGCCTGCAAGGACAAGCGGCCGGCGGGGCAGAGTTAACCCAGCAATCAGGCTAATTACGTGTGACACCTCACGCGGCGCGGCTTCATCTTCGTCAGCGGCTGCCCTAATGGAGCTGGGGAAGGGTTGAGTTTAATGGTTCTTTTAACTAATGCTTATAGGCTGCCCGATTTCCCCCGCAAGGACAGTACATATTTCATCCACATTAATACCAAATAAATTAATTACACCGCCCCGCTCGCATGATGAATCCCAGATTAATGCAGAATGATGGGGCTCTTACGCCGTAATGACAGCGCGGCGGTGCCGTGCCGTGCCAGCAGGGTGGGCTGCCAGGGGTGTGCAGTGAAACTGTGCACGGAGTGAGCAACAAAACTGTGCAGAGCGGGCATGGAGGAGCGGGCAAGGAAAGAGCAGTGGGGTCACCATCCCCAGAGGTGCTACAGAATTGTGGAGATGCGGCACTGAGGGATGCGTGGATGGGTTGTGGATGGGTTGGGGCTGGACTTGGGGATTTGAGAGGTTTTTTTTTCCCCCCTCAGTCTTAATGATTCTATGTGCAAAAATATTGAAGCGTGGCCTTTTGGGCAGCTTCAGGTGAGCAGACCTTGAGCCCCATGGATGGGTGAATCAAAAGTGACAGCATTGGGCTATTGATTGGCACAGTGGGCCCTGACATGAGCCCAGCACTGAGCTCCCGGTGCCAATACCATCGATCCCCACACCTTTAGGCCATCAGTGTAAGTGACTTTGGGATCATCAGCTTCATTTCACGCCACGATTTTCAGTGGTTGCAGTAGTGGGATGTGGGGACGTGGTGCTGGTGCTGCCGTGCCCATGGGCTGGCAATGGGATTAGGATCCCGGGGGGGGGGGGGGGGGGGCGGCAAAAAAAAAAAGCGGAGCCCCCTCCATTCTGCTGAGCTGGGAACACCCCCCTAGGATTATGGCCACATCATCGCCATCCTGCGGGTTGGTGGGGATGAAGGATGGGAGATGCGGTGTCAGCCCTTAGGAAAACCCCCAGCTTCCACCAGAAAACGGGGATAGAGCATCTGTGTTGGGAAGTAAATTTTAGGGGGAGGGTGGGGGGCTGGGAAATGTTCCATGTGGGCGGTGGGAATGTTGTTCCATGCAGCAGCCGGGGAGGTGGATGAGCGCTCGAGGGAAAAGGAGATGAGCTCGGAGGGAAAGCAGCGGGGAAAGGAAGGGAGGCTCGGTGAGGAGAGAATATTTAAAAAAGAGGGGGAAAAAAGGGGGGAAGAAAAGTGAGAAAAATGAAAACAAATAAATAAGGGGGGAGGAAAGGGGGTGGAGGGAAATGTTAAATGAAAAAAAAAAATTAAAAAGAAGAAATGGAGAAGAAAAGAGGAGCGGAGCCGTGCCCTCTCGCTCAGAGGCGGGCGGAGAGCGCAGCATCGGGGATTTCCCGGCTACATCGCGACACGGGGCGGCCGGCAGCGTGCGGGGAGGACGGGGAGAAGGACGGGGTCCTCGCGGTACTCACTTGAAGAAGTCTTCCTTGCAATAGACGCTGCCGGCACGGGCGAAGCAGCGCTCGGCCAGCTGCATCTGGCAGTCGGCGCACTTGAGGCACGAGCTGTGCCAGTGTCGGTCCAGCACCTTGAGGATGAATTTGTCCAGGATGTGCTGGCTGCAGCCGGCGCACTGCGGGATCTCTGCGGGGACGGAGGGGAGAGCGGCTCAGCAACGCCGGCATCGCGCGGAGCTTCGAGCTCCCGCCGTCCCGGATGGAGAGATGGGAACTGGGGGGGAGAGAGGAAAACGGGGAGGGGAAGGAAGGGGAGAATGAGGGGGAGAAGGGTGAGGGAGGGAAAAGAGGTTGGAAAAAGGAAAAGGGAAGGAAGAGAGGAGGGGACGGGGAATGGTTGGTGAGAAGGGTGGAAGGGAAAAGGGAGTGGGGAGGAAAAAGGGAAGGATGAAAGGGAAAAAAGGAAAATGGAAAGGAAAGGGGAGGGAAGGTGGAAGGGGAAAAGGAAAGGGAAAGAGAAGGGAGGAAAAACGAAGGGAGACGGAGAAGAAAAAAGGAAAGGAAAAGAAAATAAAATGGAAAAAAGAAAAAGAAAGAGAAAAAGAGAAGAAAGGGGGGAAAGAAAGGAAATGAGAAAAGAAGAGGGGGGGAAGAAAAAGAAAATAAAATGGAAAAAGAAGAAAGAAAGAGAAAAAGAAAAGAAAGGGAGAAAAAAAGCGAAAGGAAAAGAGAAAAGGAAAAGAAAGGGGGAAAAGAAAGGAAATGAGAAAAGAAGAGGGAAAAAGAAAATGGAAAATGTCAAAGAAAAGGGAGGGAAAGGGAACGAAAAGAGAAGGGAGAAAGAAAAAGAAAAAGGAAGGAAGGAAGGAAGGAAGGAAAAAAGAAGGGAGAAAGAGAAGAGAGTAAGAAAAAAAGGGAGAAAAAGGAAGAGAAAAAGAAAGGAACATAAAAAGGAAAAAGGAAGAAGGAAGGAAAAGGAAATCAACGAAATATTGGGAAGGGAATAAGAAACGGGAGAAGGAAAGGAAAGAAGAGAGAAGAGGAAAAAAATAAAAGAGAAAATAAAGGAAAAGAAATGTAAAAAAAAAAATAAAAGGAAAAAGGCAAAAAAAAAAAGAAAAGAAAAAAAAGGGAAAATAGGAAAAGGAAATGGAAAAGGAAAAGGGAAGTGGATGTATGGAGGACAAGAAAATAAAGGTAACACAAGAAATTAAAATGGAAGAAGAAAGGGAAAGGAAATAAAAAGGGGGAAAGAAAGCAAAATACCAGGAAAATAGGAAATGAAAAGAAGGGATGGAAAAGTGGGGGAAAAAAAGAAAGGGGGGGAAGGAAAAGGGGAAAAGAAAGGCAACTATAAGGAAAACAAATAACGCAAATGGCAGAAGAGAGGAAAAGGAAAAAAAGGAAAAGAAAAAGGGGGGGAAGGCAAAGGGCGCAGCAGCCGATCACAGCGGGGCGGTGCAGCACGGCGGGGCCCGAACCCGACAAACAGCGGGGTGACCCCGAACCCAACAAACAGCATCGACAAACGGCACCGAGAGGAGACGCCGCCGATCCCTCGGGACCCCTGACGGCAGCGGGGAGAGACAGAAACCCCTTCGTTATCCCGGAGCGGGGGGGGAAGACGGAGAGCGGGGATGCGCAGCGCTGGAGGCGGCGGCACCTCCGATGTCGGGATCGGAACCGGCCGCTGTGTGCAGCCCACGTCTGTCCCGTACGGCTCCGGAACCGAGCCGATTTCTGTTTGTTTTTAAGTAGTTCGGATAATTTCATTTGATCTGATATATAAATACACACACACATCTGTGTGTACATAGATATACACGCATGTATATACACATAAATGCATGCATACACACACACACACATATATACGCACACACACACATACAGGGGGGCCAATCCAGCCCCACTCCCCCCCCACTGCACTGCGAGTTGGCAGCACAGCCCGTTGGTTTTATTCCATCTACACTGATCGATTTCTCTCTTATTTCTCCTTCTTCTTATTATTTTCAGTGATCGTTCCGTCGATACATTCGTTTATTATTGTTGTTGTTATTATTACTATTATTTTGGGAAGGTGCTTTAGGCAGAAGTTTGGGTTCGGCAAAAGGTTTGCCGCACGTTCTCCCGCCTGCCCCTTAAGAATAGCGTTATTAATGAGGGTGTCAATTAGCGTGGGCCGTGCTGGGGGTTTATAACCTTCCCCTTCCCCCTCCTCCCCGCGCAGCTCTTTGCTCCTCAACGCCAAGCTGAAGTCGATGCAAAACGTTGGGGTTAAGGCAGAAAGGTGCTGTGAGGGTCGGGGGGGGGGGGGGGGGGAAAGAAATGCGATCTCACAGCGATCGGAAACGCGAACGGGAAAGGGCGCCCATCACTGTGAGCAGTGCTGGGGATGGAGGGGAGGGGGCGGGGGGAGGCACAAAATAAAACAAAATACAAATAATAAAATATTATAATAATGATAGAGCAATCCTTGGGGGGGCTGCAGCCTCTTTCCCACCCTCCGGAGCCCGGCCGGAGGCCCTGCACTGACGCCCCTATTTCTCACCGCACGATTTCCCCATAGCAGGGGGGGTTCAGACGCGGTGCCTCCGCGGACTGCCCCCCAGTCCCTACGGAGCCCCGAAGCCCCCCCTCATCCCCCCCCCCCCCCCTTCGAGCAGCACCACGGGAACTTCGGCAGCACAAACCCTGCTATTTCGCCAGCGATTTGTTGTGCTTAAATACACGAGAAGAACAACATCTCGTTCGCTGTACCCTGGTGCGGGCAGAAGCAGAGAGACAGTCTCACATCGGGCCGGGAAACGAATGGTGCACAGCCCCCCTCCCCCCGCTGTAGACCCCCCCCCTCCACCACGGGACGCTCCGCTTCTCCAGAACCGTTTGCAAACGCGCTGGGGAGGGGGGAGGGGGAACCGTAATAGCAGTAATCGATGATCTCGAATGCAAATTATAAATGCTAACAACGATAACAAATACAACGGAAACCCGACCGGCAAAGCTCGCACCCCCCCAACCTCCCCGTTCCCGCACAGTGTCCCCGCACACGTCCAGACGTTCACGGCCCTGCCTGGGGGGACACAAGGAGCCGCGCCACCTGTAGCTCTGCAGCACGTACCGATGGACGCGCGGACGGAGAGACGAGAGGCGGGTCGGGGCCGCGTGTCGCGACACACGGCAACAGCGGGGCACCGCTCGCAGCCCCGTGCGCACGCACAGCCGCGCTGACCGCCCCGTCGGGGCCCCCCCGGCTCTCCCATGCAGCAGCGCTGCCGCACACGGGAAGAAATGAAAGGAGAAGAAGCGAGGCCGGGGCTGGCAGCGGGCCGCAGGGAGGGGATCGGGGGAGAAGAGAAACGCGTCCTTACGTTGTACCGGCACCCCGAGGATCTCCGGCAGCCCCTTGACAGCCCCTTCGGCAGCGAGCGCTGAGCTTTGCATCATTTTATTGGCCCGGGGGCGGCGGAGGGGAGAGAAGAGGGCAAGGAGAGGGCGGCGGGCCGGCCCCCGGCCGCAGGCAGCACCGGTTCCAGCAGCAGCAGAGCCGAGCCCCAGCCGTGCTGTACCGTGCCGGTGCCGGTGCCGGTGCCGGCCCGGGCGCGGCGCCGCAGCTGTGCCGCCAGCACCGCCCGCCTCCCATTCATTCCCCCTGCGGGGAGCGCGCCTGACGTCACCGCCCGCAGGGGGCCGGGGGCGGGACCTGCAGCCCTCCGCCAATCCCCGCACGCCGCACGCTGCGGGGGGCGGGGTCTGAGAGCTGGAGGGGCAGGGCTTCGTGGCTGATGGGCGTGGTCTGCGTGAAAGGGGCGTGGTCTGGCGGCGCCACGCCTCAGGACTCCGGAGGCTGCGGAGCGTGGTTGGCGTTATCGCGACACGGGGCTGTCGTGACATAGCGCTGTTCAACAGTGCCGGTGCAGAGAGGCAGAGCGGAGATTGGGGCCGTTCGGTGCTGGTGAACCGGGCGCGGGGACGCCGAAATCCCCCCAAATCCCCCGCGGGGCACGAGGCTCCTGCACCGAGACCCATCCCGGCAGCACGGATCCTGCCCGCAGCACGGCCGGTGCTGAGCAGCTCTCTGCGGGTCGGGAAGAGCGATCCCGGAGCGTTGGGACATACGGACAGACGGACGCACGGACATCTCTTTTCCCCATCCCCTACCCAAGCCATTCCCCAAACGCCACTGCCGGAGTCAGCGCGCTATGTCCGGCGGGCTCCGATGGATCCTTCTGGCCCAACGAATCCCCTTCTCCCGTGAGGGTTCCGTTCTCATTCATCTTTCTGCTCCGCACATCGGTACAGACCTCCCCTATCGCCATCCGCATCGCCCATCCCTGCACAACGCGGCTCCCCCTGACCCCCGCAGCACCTTTCCGCACCGCCCCTATCCTCGCCCCTCTCCGTCCCCTCCGGCACGTTCCCTCGCCCATCTATTCCCGGCGGTGCTGCTCTTCGGTCGGCTTTGGGTTTCGTTCCCCCCCGGTGCCCTGAGAGGGCGTCAGGTTTGCAGAAACCCATCCTCTCCACGCTGCCCTAACTGGGAAGGGGGGATCCGGATTTTCGCATCCTACACCCACCCCCGTTGCATGGAGAAATCACAGAGCGGGCACTTACCGGCGGCTGGAGAACGCGGGGAGTGCCAAGCAGGGCGCTGTTAATTTTAATTGGGAATTAGCAGACACGAAGGGTGTCCCCCACCCCTCCCAGCCCCGCGATTTTGTGGCCGGAGAGACGCTCCTGCCCGCATCGAGGAGGGAAAGGAAAGAGGGGAGAAAGGGAGCGGCGGGCAGCAGCGAGCCGAGGGGGGGCGGCTGGCCCAGGAAAATTAAATTGCACTTGAGGGCAAATTCTATTAGGGAATAGCGACTGTCTCCCATCAGCCTGCGCCATTTGGGTAATTACCGGCGATGGGAAGGGGCGGCCCCGGGGGGAAGAAGCAGCACGGCCCCCCCCCTCCCCCGGATCTCAGCCCACCTGTGAGCACTGCACAACGCGGTGCTGCCCCACCGCATCGGGTGCCCATCGGTGTGTGTGGGGGGGTCCCCAGCTCTGCCCCCTCCGCGTGCATCGGGCCAGCACCAAACAGGATTACGGAAAGTCTATTTACGGGACTTCTCTTTTTCCTGTGTGCGTGGTGGCTTTTAGCTCCCAGCCCCGCAAATCTCCCCCCACGACGGCGATCTGGGCAGTCCCATCCCCCCCCCCCCCCAACCCCCCGCGCACCCTATCCCCCCCCGTTTTTTTGGGGGGGGGGGGGGGGGGGGGATGCAGAGGAGCATCTGCTTCCAGGAGAGGTGCACGGGGGAGAGGAGGGGGGTTAAGGGATGCTGGGGACGGGCACCTCCCCCTCCAGGGAAATCAAGGAGAGGGAGGCAGCACGACAGACGATTTATTTCAAGGGCAGGAGGATGGGCCCACAGAGCTGCCGGCCCTCTCCTCCCACCTGGGCGAAGTGAAGATATCAAGAAAATGGCTCCAAATCGGATTGACACCCCCCTCACGCACACCCCCTAATAAAGTTTATTATCAGCCGGGCTCTAATCCCTTTAAATCCCCGCACGGGGGGCAGGGCTGGGATTAGGGGAGGGCTGCGTAATCCCAATGAATTTGTTACAGGGGGATTTAGGCAGCGCCAACGGAGCAGATGGCCGCAGCCTCAGAAAACAACCATTTTCCTTAATGATTCCTAACAAGGATAAAAAGGGCAGGGAGAAACGGGGCCAGCGGCCGGCCCAGGTCCCGGTCCCCGGGGATGCTCTTGCGTCCTGCCCAAGGCACAGCTGCAGCTCCAACACTGGGGCAGGTTTATTGCCAGCTTCTTTCCTTGCGTCCCCGCCTCTGTAGGGGCCGTCCGACCACTTGGGGACACTGCAACCCCGGGGATGTAGGGCTGGGTATCATCCAGAGGCAAGAGAACAAAATAAGGGACAAGCGGACAGCACCATCGGCAAAAAATAATTTATTCCACTAAGACAAGCAGAGAGCGAGCAATGAGACGGGGAGGGGAACAAAATGCTGAAACCCACCCCCAGTGCCCCCACAGGCAAAGGGGGAACAGCAGGGAGGGAACCAACGCCGCGCTCCTGGCCCCAGGAGCCTCCTGAACCAGGAGGCTGCCCCAGCACGGGACCAGGCTGCCCTGTCCCAAACCAGCCCAGTCCCTGCAGAGGGCAGTGGGGGGCTGGGACCCCAACCAACATCAGCATCGCAGCCCCAGGAATGTGGCACACAAAGGAACAAGCCGCCCCCCACCCCCCCCCCAAAAAAAAAAAAAAAACAAAAAAAAAAAACAACAAAAATCAGCAGCAAAACTCCTGCCCTTGGCACTGTGAGGGCCGAGGGGGGTCCTGCAGCCAGAGGGGGGAGGAGGGGAAGGGTCCCACTTTGCTCTCACGCCACAGGGAAGCCAGGACGGCCTTTCCGTGCACGGGTGCGGAGTCGGAAGAAGGTGTACATGCCCAGCAGGCACATGGAGGAGAGGAAGTAGAGCGCGATGCAGAGGCTGACGTCCAGGCGGGAGAAGCCCAAGCCCAGCACCCGCAGCCAGGGGCTCCTCCGTAAGCCCCCCTCCTCCTCTTCCTCACGGCTCTCAGGCACTTGCAGCCGCTCCCAGCCGACGTCGTGATGCAGGGCGACGGTGTCCCTCTTGCTGAGCCGCCGGTGCCGGCCGGCAGCCCGCAGCGCCTTGCTCTTGAAGTGCTGCTCGCTGAAGGAGTCCAGGTCCACGATGTCCTCCCCCAGCGCCTGCAGCCGTGGGTTCCTGCGCACGATGCTGGGACGGCGCAGCTCCGAGGAGCCCGGCCGCCCCGTCTCGCTCTCCCTGTTGGGCTTCTCTGTCTCCTTCTCTCCCTCCTCCTCTTCCTTCCTCTCCTCTTCTTCCTTTTCCCGGAGGCCTGCAGTGTCCAGCCTGGCACTCGCCACCACCTCCTCCCCGGCCCTGGGGATGGGGATGGCATGGTCCAGGCGGAGGTTGCCCGGGGAGAAGTGCTTCTTGAGGAAGCTCAGCACAGCCGTCTCGTCCCACATATGCACTCCCTGCTCCTCCCGGTGGCACTGAGGACACATGTCTGGCGGAGGCCACTGCAGTTTGGGGAACTGGGGGTCCTCTGTGTCACCACCTGGAGGAGCAAGGAGTGAGAAGTGCCCTAAGCAGCAGGGACAGCGCAGCCCCACGCTGTGCCAGGATCAGCTTCCCAGACCTGTGAGGGAGCGGGATGCTTATGGGGAGCTCAACGGCTCTAATGCCACACAACCATCTGCTACGGGATGTCCCCACTACCATGGGTCCCCTCACCCTAAAGGAACCTTGACCAACCTCATCATAACAAGGGATCCCTTAACAGTCCCAGCTCCCCTCCCTTGAGAAACAACCTGCTCCCTGCATCCCCAAGTACCACTGTGCAGCCCCTGCTCCCCCCGATCCCAGCCCCATACCTGCCAGGCGTGCATTGACCTCATTGTGGTGGGACCAGAGCCAGAGAACGGCCTCATCCCGGCTCTTCACCTGGTCCATGGACTTGGCTGCCATGGCCTCAAAGTGCTGGGCACATTCCTGGCAGCCAAAGAAGTGCTTGACATAGCAGCGCATGGTGTTCAGCACCTCCAGCGGCAGCTCTAAGGGAGAAAGATGGCCAGAGGGTTGGGAGGAGGAGGAGGGATGAGTCAGGAGCCCACAGAGCCACATCACCCACAGGCCATCCCCCTATTTCCCCCAGGATGAAGCACCCCTCATCCCACTACCTTGGTCAGGGCCGCCCTGGGCAGCCTGAACTGTCAGCAGATGGAAAATGGTCCAGAGCCCACAGGGGTAACCACGGAAATGGGGCTCGCTGCCCCTGCAGCCCACCCAGGTGACGTTGGTGGGGAGCACGGCGGCAGGGATGGCCTGCAGGACAGATGGATGCAGCGTGACCGAGCTGCTGAGTGGGATGGGGGTGGGATAAAGGGGGGTGTCGGGGGGGGTGCCTTACATCCTCCTTATTCTTCACCGCCTCCTTCAAGGCACTGCGGGGCAGCTCAGGCTCTGTCCAGTTCCGCATCCAGCTGTCCAGGGACTGCAGGAAGGTCTGCACGGAGGGGCGCCCGGGGAAGTACTGTGCAAAAAAGAGGGAGAAAACAATGTGGTGAGGACACCTGAATCTAGCTCCAGGACAGCCCCCAGACATGGGACTCCCGGCATCCTGCACTGAGTTTCCCCTGCAGCAGGCTCTGAACAGCAGCCCCAGTGCCCAACTGTCTGAGCAGGGCACAAAGCTGCTCCGGAGGTAAGGCAGCACAAATCCGATTAGCAGCAATGCTCTCGGACCAAGGAGAAGTGGGGGGTGGTCCATGAGCGTGTGGCACTCGTGGCATCCATCTGCACACAACGTGTGCCACAGCTACAAGAAATACAGTGGTAGCAAACAGGAAAAGAGGCCAAGAAGCAAAAGGAAGGAGCACTTTGCTTTTTCTTCAAGGCTGACCTGTTCTCTCTGGGCGCTCAAATTACACCACAGTTCCCAGATTTGCAGGGAATTCATCTCCCAGCTGACACTTCTGCTGCAAAGTGCCATTCCTCCCTTCCACATGAGGTTTTGCCATTCAATGCATTGCCTTTGAGCCACAACACATTGCTCTCCAGCCAACATTTCCTTCCACACCGTGCTCCCCCTCCCTGCTCGGCTCACACCTCTCGGGTGTGCAGTGGCTCAGGCACAGCTGGGCTGGCAGCAATCCCGGTGTCACTGCTCCGTCCCGTGGAGGAGCAGGGAAAGGCAGCATGAGTTCAACATCCCAGGGAAATCCCAACAGAGGAAAAGCACAGCAGGAGCTGCCCACTGCCAGGGGATTTCTAAGAGCTGGAGGGACAGTCTGGAACCATCTGGCACTATCCAGCCCCAAGCCTCCCAGCAAAACCACCTTCAGCCACCTATTCATGGAGGACACGTAGTCAGCCCCATGTGCTCACATTCACATTTCTGATCCCCCATGCAGGTGGTTTCCCTCCCAGCTCCTCACCTTGGCCAGTGTGGCCACGTAGCACCTGAGAGCAGCCAGCTGGGCTCCTGCCAGCACTGCTGGTCGGCCGGCCTCCACCCGCAGTGTGTAGTGCATCGCAGACTCCAGGTCAGCCACATACAACTTGGAGCTGTGGGGACGACAAGACGCCCATCGGAACTTCGCTTTACACCCCAAGAGAACCAGCTGCAAGGAGCAGGGCTGATATACAACAGCAATATGGGATTTGGGGGGCAGGGTCCCACCCATAGGTGCATCACCCCCTCCCGTTCCCCACACCACCCTGTAACACCAGAGCAGGGCTCTGACCTGTCAGCCCACACCGGCTGCAGCGCACGGGTCTCATTGATGGCACTGCTGGTGACATTCAGCCTGTAGGAGCCACGGGTGACACCAGAGAGCGTCCGCAGGTAATAGGTGTAGAAGGAGCGTGCCTCAGCGTGCCTGCAGACAGAGGGGCAGTGAGCAGCCCCCTCCCACCCCACACCAAGAAGACCCCCGGTGCTCCCCAGTCGCACCCCCGACTCACACGGGCAGGCGGAAGAAGGAGCCGTTGCGGAGCAGCAGGTAGGCAGAGGGGAAGGTGGTGACCCCAAACTTCTCCACCAGCTCCTCCTCGCTGCTCAGCACCCTCCTCACCGCCACGTTTTCGTACTGCAGCAGGTCCAAGGCTACCTGCAAGCGGTCCCATCATCAGGATGTTGGGAGATGGGCCAGCATCCCCCGTCCTCCCATCTCTTCATTCAAGGAGGAGAAGGCAGCACCGGGTGAATCAACCCATTGGAGGTGCCCGCAGGTTAATGGTGCGCAGGGGAACAGCCATACCCACCTCTCTGCCCACGAAGGAATTGCTCTTCTCAAAGATCAGCGCCAGGTACCGCTCCGTGTTCCTGTGGAAGAAGCTGCGAACCTCCTCAGCACTGCAAGAGAATCACAGGATCGTCTGAGTTGGAGGGGAGCCTTAAAGGCCATCTGGTCCAACTCTCTGCACAGAGCAGGGCTACCCACAGCTCCATCAGTGCTCAGAACCCATCCAGCCTGACATGGCTGCCTGCAGGGATGGGGCACCACCACCTCTCTGGGCAGCCTGTGCCACAGCCTCACCACCCTTTACTGTAAAAACCTTCTTCCTTATCTCCAGTCTAAGTTTTCCCCTTTTTCCCTCTTTTTGTTTGAAACCATTTCCCCTTGTCCTGTCACAGCAGACTCTGCTAAAGGCTGTCCCCTTCCTTCTTATAGTCCCCCTTCAGATACTGAAATGCCCCCTCAGCTCTCCCCAGAGTCTTCTCTTCTCTGGGCTAAAGACGGGAGCACGGTAATGCTGGTGGGCTGCTTTGTCCCCGAGGTGAATAGGGCCATCCCTTACCCACACGGATCAGGGCTGTGATGCCATCAGTGTGGTTCCAGCCCAGGTTCCTCCCCAATGAGGTTTCCAGCCCAGTTTTCTGCTCTGGTTCACAGGCTCTGAAAGCCTGCAGGGTGAGGCGAGGAGGCAGAAAACAAAGGGCAGGCAGGGCAGGATGGAGCTGTGTGCTCACCCACGGGGAAAGAAACAACACAAGTGCCACGAATCTGAGCCAATTCGTTTGGTGTCCTATTTCTTTCATGGGACACAGAGAGCTGCAGTGTGACCCTGGCCCAACCACTGTTTTGGGAAAGCCAAACACTCCCTTGCCACGCACCGCTTGCTCTCTTTCAGCCAGGTTGAATTGAAAATAATTAAGAAAATGATAGTAATAACTAAAACAAGCTTTTTGAGCACTTCTGGTTCAGTATTTCCCTGGGAAGCCCCTTTTCCTGTGCCTATACCTCGCTGGCTCCAGTGGAGGGCATGCAGGTGGCCAGGCATCTCCACTCTGCTCCAGGTTGGTGATGATGGCACGTCTCAGGTCTGCAACAGTGGCAGCAGGGTCTGTGGGAACAGGACATCAGGGCTCCAGTCAGGGACCTGACCCATCCTCCCTCAAAACTCCAAAGCACAAAACCTATGGCTGTGAACACTCACGAGCAATCCTTATCCCATCCTCTGCTTTCTTGGAGAAAGCTCTGAAGAACTGCAAGGAGAAAAAACGAATCAACGCAGAGCACTCTCACCTCATGGAATATCCCTGCGTGCTGCTCACAGCCCTGCTCTGCACAGCCCCAGCATGACACCGGGATGCTGCCTGGCTCCGGATGCGCCTGGCCCCGAGGGGAGGGATGCTGAGCACTACGAGCGGCATGCACACCTCCGGGCACCCACAGTCCTGCACACTGCTCCCTGGAGCTCCCAGAGAAGGATGAGGAAGGGTTTCCCCCAGCCCTGCCCCGCTGCCATGAAGCCGGATGGCGTCATGCAGGTGTTTGCTTTGCAGGCTGGGCTGGGCGCATGGCTGCTTGAGGGTGGCGGGAAGACCAGACACAACAGCCTGGAGACAATTCCTAAACGTCATGTGCCCAGTGAGGTCCCCAGGACAGCTGGGCATGGCTCATGGATCCCCACACGCAGAGTCCATGCCAGATTTACTGGGCTGCCAGCCCCTGGGTCCCAGCTGGGTGGGTTTTTGCAGCCCTATTTTTTGCTGCAAAGTCCCACTGGAGCCCAGCCAGCCCCACAGTACATGCAGCACACAAGGTGTTTGACTGGTTCCAGCTCACCAAGCTGTAATCAGCCCTGCTTTAATTAAGCAACAGAGGATGGAGCCACCCTGGAACCCACCTCTAGAGCATCAAAAACAGTTCAAAACCAAACCCCAGACTCCTCTTCCTCATCCCAAGGCAATGGCAGCTCACGGGGCCAGCATCCTGCTGGTCAGGGAGCCCCAGCTTTTCTGCAGCACAGGGCTGGAGCTCTGTTTGCAGAGGGCAGCACTGGGAACCAGTGTGTTTGTGCAGCTTAGTGGGCAGGCAGGGGCCCAGCAGCAGGGACAGCAGCGTGCCAGGCACCCTGCCAGTCAGAGGGGAGAGGCTGCCTGCAGAATCCCCACGGGAATATTTTGGTGCCACAATGATGTCAGCCCAATTGAGCAAGAGGGGGCCAACATCATGGAGAAAAGCAGGGTGAAAACAGGGTACTAAAAGCCTCTCCCCCTTGCCAATCTCAACACGCATCCCCATCACCCTCTCCCCATGCACCTTACCTTCAGCGTGGGGAAGCCAGTGATCCCAAACTCGGCGCACACCTGCTGGTTGGCCTCATCAGCACAGTCGAGAGCTGCGAGCATCACTGCCGGTCTCCACTCTGCAGGACAGGGGATGGAGGACAGAGTCAGCGCAGCCACAGCCCCACAGAGCATCCCTGCTATTTGAGCAGCCCTCAGGGATTACATCCCTTTGTGCTGCCCCCCACTGATGGGAAATCCACTCCCCATCCTTCCCAGTAGGGATGGGGGATGCAGAGAGCTCGCACAGAGCCAGGCATGGGGCCAAGGCCGAGCTCATAACTGCTTGCAGCAGGCTGCAGTGCTCTGCACTGCCATCCCTGCATCCCTCCATCCCAATCTCCTCCCGCACAGCACAGGGGGGGGAGGCAGCTTAAGCGCCTTGGCCTCTTTTCTTGCCTCCTGAGGCTTGGGAGATTTGTTCCAATTGATGTCTGCTTGGAAAAATCCTCGACAAAAAAAAAGAAAACAAAAAGAACACATACAAAAAAGAAAAAAAAAACCCAACAGATCACAACACAGATTGTTCCTGCTGCTGAAGCCCTGCCCCACGCTTTCTATCCCAGAAACAGACCCAAATACAGAGCTGGGAAGCAGCCAGGCCCTGCAGCCTGCCACCAGCAGCACACAGGTCAGTCCCCATTGCACCGCCGGGCCCACAGGAGTGCTGAGCACGGACACAAAGCCTTTGCTCCCGGGTTGCGCAGTGCCTCCATCCCACGAGCAGCCCAGCCAGCACTCTGTGCCCTACTTTTCAGGCAGGGAACACAATGGCAGCACGAGGTGAAGAGGCAGCAGCCCTGCCCAACCAGCCGGTTCGCCGGGATAGGGGAGGGATGGCCACCGTGATGCAGACGGGAGCGGGGCTCCGACCCTTCCCATCCCAGCTGTGATAAGAAAGACGGAATGACCCAAAACGGGTGAGCTGGGGAAGGGAGCAACGCTCACAGCCCTGGGTACACCGAGCAGCAGGTGCCAAAAGCAGAATAGGGACAGCTCCAACGGGAGCAGGCCGGGAGCAGCGGGCCTTAGGAGCACACATGCGGGGACAGCAGGGACTCCCGGCGTGGCGGCTCCGGCACTGCCACTCCACGACGGGGCTCGGCGGGGCGGGAGCACAGCGTCGTCGCCCCGTCCCTCGTTTCCCGTCCGGGCGCTGAAGGAAGCCATCAGCCTGACTCAGCCGCAGTGCCCGCGCTGTCATTAGCGCAATCACGGGGACCAGCCGGGATGTGACAGGGGAAGGACGCGGCTCGGGGGCCGGCAAGAGCCACGCGCCAAGGTCAGCGCTGCGAGAGCACAGCTGGGCTGCACGGCCAGCACGGCACAGCGAACGGCACGGGGGGAGGGATGCCGGAGGGGCGGCGGCACGCCCCAATAGCCGCGGGCAGAGCAGGGCAGGGCCGCTCCGGGGCCGCCGGGCCGGGTGCCAGCACAGGAGGCCGCTGCTAGGGATGCCCACGCGGGCGTGGGGGCGCGGACTCACCGCGGACGTCCTCGGCCAGGGCCCGCCACGTGGGGGCGAAGTGGATGCAGTGCCCGCACCAGGAGGCGAAGAACTCGACGGCCCACGCGCTGGGGGAGCCCAGCAGCCGCCGCTCCGCCGTGTCGGCCCCTAGCAGCTCCAGCGGGTCGCTGGGCGAGTAGAGAGAGCGGGGCCGCGCCGCGGGCAGCGCCGCCGCCAGCAGCGCCAGCACCGCGAGCCACCAGCGGCCCCGCGGGCCCGCCCCGCCTCCTCCCCCGTCGCCGCCGCCGCC